CTACCTATGTTGGTCTTTACACATTGAAGGGTGATATGATGCTCATCAGTGATCTAAGCATGGCAGTAGTAGTCAAGAGATAAAGAAGCAGTTCATCGACAATTTCTAGAATCCACGGAATGGTTGAGTTCCTTTTATTAACTGAGGCCTAAAATAGGCTTTCTTGTTTTGAGCATGTGAAATAAATTCTTCCTGCAAAATTCATAATCTTTTGAATCCTTCTTAAAACACAAAGTGAAATTTTCTAAGATGAAGTTGTCTTCAGTAACAGTAAGAAGTGATAACTTGGATTGAAGAGTTCCAATTTCTATAATACCGATAGTCCATACATATATGATATCAACCTCTAGTTATCTTGTATAACTTTGGGCACAGGTTTCCCTTGTTTGCTTCTTTAGCCATAGTATCTGCGTGGATGCTGATTCTTAATTTTGGAATGCTAAATTACTCTCTTTTTTACTGTTTAGCCATATTACTATTATTATCTAAGATTTTGATCTCTTTCTACAAGGACAATATATTTTGAGGTTGAATCATACACCTTAATCAAAGATTAATTCTGTGAACATCTCAGTGCCAATTTTAGTTCTGCACTTCTTTAACACTCTTTCAGTGCCTTTGTATTGTTTTACTTTTCTATTAGATTCCCTTTTTACGGTTGTTTATGTTTACGTGCAAGATCAATACTCTTAGTGTTTTCTCATGTTTGAATTATGAAAGAAGACATTAGTTTAGCATCTTGCCGTGACTATTTAAAATGTCAAAAGAGCTTACTGAAATTCTCAACATTTAAGTTTCTAGAATCTGTCTGCATCATTGAGTTTCTTGAAAAGAAAAGGCTTTTTCTTTGTTGCACTGAAGTAATTGAATTTATAATGGAGGATGGGATGTTGTGAATTTCAAAATGAAAATTTTCAGTATTTTACAAGTATTTGTATTGAACAATAATGAAAAGATTTTCAGGTCAGGTTTTGTCATCGATGAAAACCGTTGTTAAAGTTCCCGTTTCCCCTAAATGCATTGGCCGGAGCTCTTCACTGTGTGCATTTGGTTTGCCTTACCTGCATATGATATTTAGAAGATAAAAAAAGGTAGTTTTGGTCAGAGATACAATTTCCACTGTCATATTAAGCACTCATGAAAGCTCATTTGTGCTTGGAACAGCAGCATTAAGTTGGCCAAGTTGAAGGACCGAATTTGAGATTTGTACTATGCACCACAATGATGAAAGGATGGAGGTACATATAAAATTGCAGTTTAAATAAATTATTACATAATTTGTAGCAAGGCTGCTTGAGCGCCGGATCATCGTTCGATGCTGGAGGATCCTGACCGAAAATCATCTTGCAGCTCATATCATCAAAATCTGCAGTTAAATATGCATCAGAGCTTCTGTTAACTGTTCCGATGGATTGGCTTCATAAACAGTAATGGTCTCCTGCTTCTCATGAATGATTGGTACGTGGAAAGTGTGAATAATATTAAGCTTTGATGGTTTTAATGACACAATTTCCAGGCAGATTCTGATTTTATATGGAGTTGGCTGTAGAATAATGATTGGATTCATGGGAACAAGAAGAGTTCAGCATATCTTTCATAACCAGTCGATACATGGAATTTAATCATAAGATTTGTTATACCAAATTTACGGCCTAGATAGAATGTAAGAATGAACATCATGGTTTTGTGTATGCATAACGCATTGCATTTTGTGTTATTTTACATGCTAGTATTCTCGGTTGAGGTTGGACGGGACCACTTTCAGCTTTGCACCCTAAGTGCTGAAGCATGCAGGCCCTACATTGAATAATGAGCATGAGCTCCACAATCTAGTGCAAGAACTGTTACTGTTTGAATTAATTTTCTTTTCCTCTTTTTCCTATTCTAACACCAATTTTCCCCGTTTAATTTTTGTAATCATTGATGTTAGCATTGATCTGAATGACTGTATACTTACTTGGAACCATGTTTACCGGCATTCCCAGGGAATCCTTAATAAAGACTTGAGAGGGCATCTTGCAGAGATTGATGCACATTCCAACACAGTTGCTCTGCTCCAGGAACCTACAAAAAGTCCAAGCAAATATTGGAGGATTTCCAGGATTATCTAAGGGTGATGAAATCTTTAACGATGAATTCTATGTTAACGATGATTGTGAGGATGACGACGACGATGATCATCGTGATAGCAATGGACAAAAAGCAGAGTCCACCACACAATCATTGGAACAGGTTATTTACCGTATTAAAGTTTCTTAAGTTGGTGAGGTGGGTCTCCATCTTGGATTAGACTATAGTGCTTAATTATAATGGCGAGCGTTGGTAAAATTACCTGCACTTTTTTACATAGACGACATTCTTTTCTCTCCTTCCCTCGAACTCCGATTCCAGGACCTTGTGGCATTGCATCAATAAGAATGTTAGATTTTCATTCACAGAGTTTACCAGGAGGAAATCATATGCATGTATGAGCCATGACACAAGTTTTACATCTCCGTAAGCCGCACGTGATTTATGCATGTTATTGTTTGCTAAAAAAACATGATATCATTTCTCCTTGTTTTTCTTTCTTTCTTTATTATTGACATTGTCACTTTTTCAGATTTATACAAAGAAATGAGCTACTTCCCACCATTTTCTTACCTCAGAAGGTCCGATGAGCCAGGCGAAAAACACGGTGGTGAAGGCAGCGAAATATTCCCTTGTGAATTGAGATTGAGGCAGCAATGTTCTTATCTGCCATTGGATCACCACCACATCAATGATATCAATATTAATTTAGTAAACCATCGGATCATATTTGCCTAATGTGAACGTAAACCAGCATGCAAACATAACTTTTCTGGGGTTTTTTCTCTCTAAAACGCCATTTTTGTTTTGTATGAGAACTCATGTGAGTTACATGAATTTAATCTCCAGGAATAGTGTAAACCAGCAATGGAAATAAACTTGCCAGGTCTAGAATGAACTTGGGGATGGCACTGTCAAGAGCTTTAACGACAAGCTTCTGTTGTGTTTTAGTATTGTATCTCTTCGACATCATTGCTGTCGTCTCCACCAAGCTCTCGTATCCACTCATCATGCTCTTCAGCCCTGCGTATATACACAATTTTTCAACATTTTCCAAAATCCAATCTCTTCTTCCTATAGAAACAAAATCATGGTAACCATAGAAAACGAACCTGTTGCAGCTTGTAGACTTTGGGATAGATAATTAATAGCCAAAAGATCAAACCAGTTATCATTATGTACACTGCTACCAGCTTTGCTATCTGCAGGCTTTAACTTCTTCAACCTCAACCTCTCCGTAACTAAGTTCTCCGGCGGCATAGCTAGCACCGAACGAACCGGACGACATCGCCGTTCATCTGCTCGCCTCGAGGACATCGCGGTCGGGCTCCGACTTTGTAAAATTAACCTAGCTTCCATTGATGGAAAAGTAAAGTAAAATCTTGATGTGAATGGAGGGGAAGTGCTAGCGGTAAGTATATAAGAACAAAATGTGCATGTGGAGAAAGCTATGAGAACTTTGGTATATATGGACGGTTTTTGGAATCTTGTGCAGTCGTTGGCAATGCTCAAAATAAAAGGCATGTTGGTGTTTAAAGATGCTGTTTTGTTGGTATTGGGAAACAAAGATGCTGAGCTCTTAGCAGTACTCGCAGTACAAGTGGAGATTTGATTTAATTGTATAAGTGGAATATTGAAATTTTCAAGGCTTCGTGATCATCACATCAGAGTGGTAGTTTTTGAAGATACCAAGTGGCCGCTGGGGACAGGGAAGCTAGGCCAAGTAATGCAGCTCCATACTAGAATTGTGTTAAATTAAAGGTCTATTTCTGCTGTCAGTCCCCGTATTCCTTGTACACTTGAAATTAACCCCTCTACTTTTAGTTTCAAGAATGATAAATATGTAATTTAGTACCTGAACTTGGCTACAAGATTCAATTTGGTGGTTATATTTTTTTGTCCAATTAGATATTTGAACTTAACTTATTAATTCAAATTGGTACTAGACTTTTGCTTATTAATACTTTCAAGAAACTCTTTTGATTTAATAATCAAACTTTAATTCATTGCATCGTTCAAGGAATTGTGCTAATTTGATTATATGAAATCATTTAAAAAAATATTCAAGATGTCAATTTAAACTCAAGTGAAAATCATAAGAAAAAAAAACATCAATTTTGTCTCCGATTCTCTAAAACAATACTAAGAATATCATAACCCTAGATTTAAAATTAATGTTAATGTGAGTAATTGAACTTCAATTAACAGAAATCCTCCGACAGCCTAATTAATTGACCTTCAATAACTCAAAATCTTTGCTTTAATGTGATCCAAGTGGCAAATATGGAATATTGGTGAAGAATGCAGGTCGGCTGGATGCGTATACCTCTTCAAGGAGTAAAGACAAGCAGCTTTTCAAGCTGGATAAGCCCAGGCTCAATTTCTTTTTAGGGTAAACTACACATTCAGTACCTCAACTATTATTTTTATTTTGCTGTGGTCACTCAACTATTATATTTTTAAAATCATATCTAACGTTTTATTTTGGTCACCCACTATTAAAAAATCAAAAAAACTATTGACATTTTTAAAAAAATCAATGATAACACATCAACATCGCCATTGATTTTTTAATAATTGTGACTAGAATAAAACCAAAACATAATATTAAATATAATTTTGAAACAAATAATAATTATATCACCAAAACAAAACAAAAGTGATAGCTTGAGTGCTAAATGTGTAGTTTACCCTTCTTTTTAATCGATTAATCTAAATTTATTCATTTGTTTATTTTTATTCCAATCTTTAATATATTTATATTTTATCATAAAATAAAATTTCACTTATTTTCTTAAATATAAAATCATATTATGTAACTAAGCATAAGAGGAAAAGGCTGTCTGTGACAAGAAAAATATTTATAAAAAAAACGATTTCACAATCATGTCAAATGAACATATTGGAACTTCAGAGCCAGATTTCCAAGGAAACCGCAGTTAAAAGTATCCAACAGGCACCATTCCTACTCTAAATAAAGATCATAATCCATAAGTACAAAGGAAAGAACATTGAGAGTTGCTACCATCGTATATACTAACCAGATGTCCTAGACAGATTAAGCAAAGACTACAAATAACACAGAAGACATAGCAGTACTGGAAAGTCAAACCTAGTTGAAATCAGACATTACTATTCTTTGGTGGTCTTGTTGATGAGGGACTTGTGAATGTGAGGGATCACACCACCTCCAGCAATGGTGCCCTTGATAAGGGTGTCAAGCTCTTCATCTCCCCTAATAGCCAGCTGCAGATGCCTTGGGGTGATTCTTTTCACTTTCAGATCCTTGCTCGCGTTTCCGGCCAACTCTAGAACCTCGGCCGTCAGGTATTCGAGGATAGAGGCCAAGTAAACGGCAGCTGTGGCCCCAACTCTCCCGTTTGCAGAAGCCCTGGACTTGAGATGACGATGGATACGACCCACTGGGAACTAATAACAAGAAGCAGTGAAACGCATGAGAGCCTTGGCTAATTGAGAACTAAACCTCAACCAAGAAACATATCACAAATACCAGGTGGAAAGAAAACCCTCTTTTGCTATGGTCTTACCAGGCAAACAACAGAGACTACAATTATAAAAAGATTTAACTAAGTACATGGAATCATAATAAATATCTTTAACTCATAGTACAGAAACAGTGTGATCTGGTTAAAGATTAAAAACTACATCATGGGTATAGATACTTCGCTGACTGAGTTGCATCAATTTTTTTATAGATGAACGTGCTTTCATTACCCAAAAGAAGCAGGAATCTGATGTTGCTTACAATGTATAAAATGAACCAACTACCTATACATTATACAGCTACGTCCCAGATTTTGCAAAGCTGTGAATTAAATCCATAAATCCTGTTTATCTTCCTGAAATGCAAAAATAATAATAATAATAACTCTCAAGAGAAAAGTAAAATGAAACACAGTGGACAAAAAGAACTAGGCTTTTTTTTTCCCATAAGGCTAAAACAAGAGCTAAAATCATTGAAAACGCGTATGCCAAAATTGTTCTTTGTTTTAGCATTCATAACCACATAACAACTATTTTGAAGAATCACGGTGTCTTGACATAAAAAAGATGGCCAACTTGCGTATGTCTCAACCATCAACCACGAGTACTTCAAACTTTAATCGTTCTTTTTCTAATCTTATTTAGAATAAAAAATATAAAGATCTACAATTATCAAACCGACAAAAACAAACACAGAATCCACCTTCTAGATTTACTTCTTTCTTTTTATAATTCACGGAGCAATGCATCCAAAGATAACAAACATGTATAACTGAAAACAAAGTAAATGTGTAGTAAATTCTGAGAAACACCTGAATTCCGGCACGAGATGAACGAGAAACCGGGCGCTTCTTATCCTTATCTTTGTCCTTGTCCTTGTTAGCTGCGACTGTTTTCGCCGCCAAAAGCCCCTTTCCACCTTTTCCTGCCATCTTCGTTCACCATAAAATAAATAATAAAAAAACCAAAAAAACAAGTGAAAATAATACCAACGCAGCATTACTATAACCCAGATCTGTTAAACACTAACCAGATCCAGGGACCAGTCGGAGAAGTTCTCAGATGCTATATAAATTTGAATCGATAAAATATATATCTATAATGTAGTAAAGGAAAATAAAAGGTAGTGACAAGAGAGACCTGAGAGAATTTTAGAGTGATTGAAAGCCTGAAAGTGAAGAAAACAGTGGAAATATGAGGCAATGTGGTTGGATTTCTGGGTTTATAATTACCTTGAGATTTGGTTGTCATTTTAAATGCCGGAAATTGAAATGGCGGTTAATTTTAGGTGGGAAAATTCTTCGATTTCGACATTTCAAAAAATTTCAACTTTAATTACCAATTACCCTTTCCTTTTTCCCAAAATTCCCTGCCACCCTAACTCGTCGCTTGGACCAAACACGTGACTTAGACCACTCAATAGGGTGGCTCGGAATAGTTTATAGACTAGGCCGATTGGAGTTTGATTTACCCTTTTTTGTTATTCCTGTTTGAAATTGAATCATCTTCTTTTTGTTAATTTTAGTCTCATATTTATGAATCAAGTCAGATTTATAAATAATTTAAATATATTTTCTGTTTTTTAATTTAATCTAAAATTTAGATTTTATCAAAATTCATATATATCTATAAATGATTAAATCAAAATTATTTTTAGTTTATCTATATTTTTTATTTTTTAAATATTTTATGTTATTATATAAATTTCTTAAATTTATTTTATTTACTTTTCACATAATCTTCAAATATATTTTTTAATAACGGTAACTGGATTTCATTAATAAAAATGATGGAAGTGATCAAAATTATAATATACTCAAACATAGAGAGAAAAATAAAGGTAACAATCACCAAAAAACTCATACATAAAAAGAAAAATATTAAACCCAAAGATCCGAAGAAAAAACGAAACATTTCATTGAAAATGACGTTTAACGCCAAAAAACCTAGTAACATTCATAAAAAAATTATATGTATCGAGGTGATTTACGAAGTGATAAAAAGTAGTGAGCAAATCAAATAATTTGACAGACTGCTTTACTGTATAATTCTGATTATATTGACAAACAACTTTTTACCATAGATAAGACCTAATAATACGTAATCACCGACAAACAAATTGGAAAACGTACTAACACCAAAATGATTGCAGATATATGAGGAAAACGTACAAAAAATCATAAGAAACATGTAACATAAAACATAAAAAAAATACATGATAAAATATCAAAGAAAAGTGTGTCGCAGTGATAGATATTCTTATTTAAAAATTAAAAAAAACACATAAAATAAAGGAAAATAATATGAAAAAAATAAAGGAAATAATATGAAAAAAATAAGAAAAACAATAACAATCGACAATCAAAATTAAGATCGGTGTCGTTACCGGTTAAACAAAAATCAAAGAGAAAGAAGAAGACAATATAAAGATATCGAGAGAAAACTTACGTTGACATTATATTAATATATGTAATAAGATTATTTTTTATATCATATAAAACATATAGAAATTAATATTATATATATTATAAAGTTATTAAATGAGTTAAACTTGAGCGATAAAGGTTAAATTTAAATTGTATTTTAAATTGGTCTATTTTTTATTTAAATATTCATTAAATCTATTATTCTTTAATCTAATTTTTTTTAAATTTTAGATTGACCTTCGAGTTTGTGCAAGTAGCTCGAGATTTGTATCTCTTTAGATTAGATCCTATATTATTTGTTATTTTAGACCAAAGTCGTTTGAGATTGAGGTTCGAGGTTTTAACTTGAATTATTCTAAATTTAAATAATTTAGAATTAGAGTTTCTTATTATTTCAAATTATTTTTCTAGATCATTCTATTAATTTCAGATCATGTGATTACATAGAATATAAATTCAAAATTTTTATTAGAGTTTTCAGGTCAAAATTGATGTAGTTATGTGATTCATGCCAGGTAGCTTGAACGGGTTCTGGTGAAAGGGTCGATAGATTGGACTGAAAGGGCTTAGCCTTACCTGTAAAATTCGGAACAAGATGGGCCACCGTCTTCAGAATCGATAACCGGGCCGAATCCATTCCATCAACGGTCAAACGACAACTTCATATCTTTCGGCGAATCTACCAATGGTACTGCATTTTGTAAGGACACAACAGCCCAAAGACTTGTAAAAGCAGGACATTTTGTCAGTGAGCTGACAAATTCTAACCTCCCTTCTAAAAACCTTTTCTCAACAAGCCGACGCGGGCTCGCAGCTTCACCTCGTAATCTCCAAATAAAATCGAGAACGGATCCTTTGCTTCGTCGGCGAATATGTCTGCTTCCTTCCGTTTCTCTTCTTCCTTATCACCGTTACAGTCTCGGGATTTCCCCAAAATGCGTTTTTTCAATCCTCGGATTGTCGTGCCTAATCCCATACCATTTTTAAAGCAAACGAAGACCTCGCATTCTAGGGTTGTTTTGCCGGAAAACGTGAAAGTCGCGGCTTCTGAGCTGCCGGTGACAGCGGGGAAGCCGGTAGATATGGCGGGGTCTGGAGGATTACAAGTGGACCTGGTGACGGAAACGGATTTGAAGGAGAACGGGTTCAGGAGCACACGAAGGACGAAGATCGTATGTACCATCGGGCCCCGCACGTGTGAATTTGAAGAGATCGAGGCTCTAGCCGTGGGAGGAATGAACGTGGCTCGTGTCAATATGTGCCACGGCACCCGCCAGTGGCACAGAGACGTAATCCGGCGGGTGAGGCAGTTAAACGAAGATAAAGGGTTCGCCGTGGCGGTTATGATGGACACTGAAGGTAGCGAGATCCACATGGATGATCTAAACGGTGCCGAATCTGCCAAAGCAGAGGTAATTAATTATTGTCTTAAGGTAGTTTAATTAATAGTTAATTGTGATTGCTAAACTTAATGGTTTTTTGCAGGACGGTGAGATGTGGACGTTTACTGTGCTGACATTTGATCCTTCATCGTGCCCAGAGCGTACCATTACGGTTAACTACGATGGTTTTGCTGAAGGTAATTTTTTTATAAGCTTTTTCAATTGAATTAACCAATAACCATCTTCCAAGATGTGCTATATTTAGTTTAGTTACACAAAAAAACGGACAGCTTTAAGTTTTTGATCAGTTCAAGTATTGAACAGAACTGAAGCTTTGTCCTTTTGCGTTTTGGGATAACTTTAGCAGGGGATTATCTGGTACTTAATCTGGTTTAAATTTAGCTTATTATGATTTTGAGAGATTAAATTTGTACAAGGACACTATCAATGAACGACCAGAGCTTAGTTAAAGATGAATCACAACCCACGTTGTGCTTTCTGTCACTTTCATTCCATACACCTTTGATGGGAATGAAAGAGCTATGACTGCCAATTTGACGATATTGTAACTTCTTTTAGATCCATAATCATCTGGACTTACCGATCTAACTATTTTGATTTTCCACCATGAGTTATCTTTTCCATGCAACCTTTAGTTTCATTGCTTCTGCAGCTCAAACTCGCCACAGTTTTGTTTATTTTATGAAGAATTAAGGTGTAATACATTGATTTTTATCGTACATGGTAGATGTAAAGTTTGGTGATGAGCTTCTTGTTGATGGAGGAATGGTGAGGTTTTTGGTGACCGAGAAGATTGGTCCAGATGTGATCTGCCAGTGTACAGATCCCGGTCTGTTATTACCTCGTGCTAATCTTACTCTTTGGAGAAATGGGAGCCTTGTTCAGGAGCGCAATGCAATGCTTCCTACTATATCTTCAAAGGTGTGGTACCTTTCAAACAGTCAAGCCGTTGCCTTCATGCATTCACGAAGCTTTTTACTAAGCGCTATACATTTTGATTCTTACTTTCTACCGGAAAAATTGAAAGTAATTTGTATATGTTTTTCAAACATTTATGATGCTTGCAGGATTGGCTGGATATTGATTTTGGAATTGCCGAGGGTGTTGATTTTATTGCAGTGTCTTTTGTGAAGTCTGCTGAAGTGATTAAGACTTTAAAGAGCTATATCACTGCTCGATCACCGGGAAGGTAAGCATATATAACATTTTATTGCTTTAAATTTAACCTGTAACCCAAATTTGAGAAACTTGTATCATTTCGGTGATGATTCACATGTAAAAATGTACATCAGTGTCCAAAAAAAATTTTATTACTAAATTCAAAATGCACTCTCATATTTCTTTTTCTTTTAACTTCTAACTAAACTATTCTACACGATTTTTTTTTTGGTAAATTTTAAGGGCTAATTTTGAAACTTCTATGTAGATGTAAGAAGTTCTTATGGTTCAATTTTGCAGCCAAATTGGTGTCATTGCCAAGATAGAGAGTATTGATTCTCTGAAAAACTTGGAAGAGATTATCAAGGCATCAGATGGAGCTATGGTGGCCAGGGGAGATCTAGGTGCACAGATACCAATAGAACAGGTCCCGTCGGTTCAAAAGAGGGTTGTTCAATTGTGCAGGAAGCTGAATAAGCCTGTCATTGTTGCCTCCCAGCTGCTTGAATCCATGATCGAATATCCCATACCTACCAGAGCAGAAGTTGCCGATGTTTCTGAAGCTGTACGGCAGCAGGCAGATGCTCTAATGCTTTCCAGTGAATCAGCCATGGGTCAATTCCCTGAGAAGGCATTAGCTGTGCTAAGATGTGTCAGTTTGAGAATTGAGAAGTGGCGACGGGAGGAGAAGCACTTGGATGCCACAGATCCCTCAATTGTGTCATTTTCCACCCCACCTAGCATTTCTGAGGAGATATGTAGTACAGCTTCGCAAATGGGTAAGCAATTTTCTTTTTATTAAACTCGTCTGCTGAATTGAATGTGATTTAAAATGGTTCATAATTCTCTATTAACAAGTGATGCACATGCTTAAGTCAAAAAATAGAAGTTCGCATAAACTCATCAAAGTAATTTAAAAAAAAATCAACTCTTTTTTATGCTCCACCCAGCCCCTGTAGTATTTTATGTTACCGTGTGATGATTATATCCATTACAGTCTTTAACAGCAGTAATATAGTTCTAGCTGCCCTAAATGTTGAAGAAATTTTCAGTGGTTTTGTCGATGTGTTACATGACACTTTCTCCCTTTTGATAACAAGATGTTTTTCTCTTTTTCTCAACTTTCAGCTAACAAACTCAAAGCAGATGCCATCTTTGTATACACAAAAACTGGACAGACAGCATCTCTTCTTTCCCGCAATCGGCCCGATTGTCCAATCTTTGCATTTACACCCTCAACTTCCATCAGAAGGTGCCTGAACCTGCAGTGGGGTTTGATACCTTTCCGTCTTGATTTCTCAGATGACGTGGAGACCAATCTTTACAGGACCTTCTCATTGCTTAAAGCAAGGGAAATGATCAACTCGGGTGACCTTATCATTGTCGTCTCTGATGTTTTGCAATCCATTCAAGCAATAAAGGTTCCCTAGAATTGGAATGTGCACTTAGTTAAGTGTTTTGTTTGCAGTGTTCCTAAAATAGGATGATTGGATTAGTTCGTAAGGTTAGGATTTGATTGAAGTCTGGTCATTAGGGATTGCTCATGTACCGTCAGAAGGAACCTTCCACAACCCCAGGCTCATTCTTTTTCAGCACATATATTTCCGAGTCCAGTGTGCTTGCACACCTTAAGAGATCTCTTCAAGCGTCTGCAATTTGATTTTGTTCTTCTGTTTCTTGCATAAAATTTTGCACAATACGGTTTTATTTTTGAAAGTGGATTTAGCTTGTCATTGTTTGTAGAAGGAAAGACGGCACCAGAGAACATCGTGTATTGTTTTCCCCCTTTTTGATATTGAATTTTGAACACTCTGGTAAATATTTACCTGGTCAGTCCTTGAATCCATATATGTAAGAAAGATGAAGGGTTCAACCAAAGGCTTTAAGCATCCACGGATATGATAGAGCAGGAAGCAGAGCGTTGCTGTAAAGTTGTCATTGATGTACTTAAAACGTATTTTTTTTACTTACAGACTTGTATACAAATCATATACTATATAAAACAACTTTAAAACATATAAATATTAGGGTAAACTATGTGTTTGGTCACCAACCTATTCCCGCGATTTTGTTTTGGTCACTCATCTTTTTTTTTAACTCGTATCTAAATTAATTTTTTAGTTTTGTTTTAGTCATCTATCGTTAAGAAATACACAAAATTGTTAAAATGATGATATGTTAGCATCATTGTTAATTTTGTAATAGTGGTTGATTAAAACGTAATATCAAATATGATTTTTTTGAAGAAAAAAATATTTGGATATTCAAAACAAAACTTTATGAATAGGTAGATGATAAAAATAGGTAGTTAATTTTAAATTTTTTAAATTAACTAAATATAGACTAATATAAGCATGGTGTAAATCCAAATATCAGACATACCGACTAAAAGAATCAAACAACATATTTCAACAGACAGGAGATCAGGTGAAGGGAGTAGCGTTTGTCTTCTCCATTCTCATGAAACGATGGGTTGGATCAGAAAATAATGTAATGGGGAAAACGAGGCTAATCCAAAGAGTATGATGAGAGTATCGGGTGATTGTGATATTGTTTTCCTTTTAAAAAAGAAAAGAGAAAAGGCGAATGGGGCATCTTTTCCGTCGACGGCAATAAACGCGTACAAGTGCAGTGCCTATGAACTGAAATAAATGTGCCAAAAAGAGGCAAAGAATCCTACGTTTGTTGGATTAAAAGTAGACAAGATGTGCTGGAATTTCAAGGCGATTCATCATTTTATCACTTTCTCGTTTTAAGAAAAAGCCGAAATACCAGATTTAATGGGGGGGAAAGGAATAACATAGAAAGGCTAATGAACAAGTCTGAAAGTGTGGGTAATCAATGGAATTCAGATTTTCTTAACCATCCCTTCATTTTCTTCTCAATTGGGACCCCTAATCAACTCTGTCACTCAGTGTTATCATAATTAATTCATCGACAAAATATCTAAATTACTAGTAAAATTAATAAATTTATATATAATTAAATAAATTGAGTTCATTGATTAACATCATATGTAATGAAGTGATGGGTTTAAGCAATTACATCTACAAGATGTGTGTTATCAATGATTAAAAAAGATTATAAATATATATTATCATATAACCACATTAAATTATCAAAAGAAATGGCATTTATCGATGGAAAATGTTTGGTTTAATATAAATCTATTTCCTTAACTTATTCAACGATAAATATAATCATATAAATATTTTTTTAAAATATTAATTAATATATATATATATATAATAAATACCCATAATACATAAAAGAATTTGCTGACTATTTTTTATAAAAAAAAAAATCTAACTAATCCTTCAACTCCTTGGTGCCAGCCCATGTACCTAATATACCAGGGCCCAGCAAACACTGGATCATTACCTCAATATCATTTCAAATTTCATAGCAAATTGGTATATATTTTTTTCCTTTTATTTTTATTTAAAATTAATGTTTTGTCTCTATCGTGATTGATCCAAATAGCTTTTAACGAAAAAAATATTTCTAAAATAATAATAAAATTACTGAAAATATAATAATAATAATCATAATAACAATAATACACAGGTACTTGAAACAAAATAAAAAAAATCATATTAAAAGTAATATTATATCAAACCTAAAGAAAATCATAATAGACTTTGCTTCGGACTTAAGAAATCCTCCGCCAAACAGTATCTCTATTCATTTTTGCACTCCACACCCACTAACTCACCTTCTGTTGATAAATTTCGATCAACTTATTATTACTTAGCTGTTCATTTGATGCGACAATATTATCTTGCCATTTCTACTATGCCATGTTAATTTGGAGTTTATACTTTTTTTTATTTTGATGATATCTAAGATTAAATTGTTTTTAGTTTAACTATATATAATATTACCATAAATTTTATTCTACATTGTCTATTTATCTTAATTATAAACTTTAAACTTCAAAATTTTACCTTAAGATTATAAATATTAAATCTCAGAATATAAACTCTAACATATATATATTTAAATTCAGTCTATATATATGTATAGAAGATTTATAATGTTAATAATGATTATAATAACAATATTTACTTATCATATTCGTGCAAATTGGGTTTGTGTTTTTTTTTTGTTGAATAAAGGTGAATGGACCTCTTAGTTGCCCGTTTTATCAGCTAAAATCAACTCCTCAGCTTCCTTAGGGTAGTTTTGCAGAAAATTAATATCCTCCGGATGATTCCACATTTGCTTGGAGATGAAATCTGCAACGCGGTTGGCCACCCTTGGTAAGTTCTCAATCTCCACTTCAAATTGGTTTTGTGTTTTATTTGTTATATTTATTCAATTACGTACTTTACAATAAATACAGGCGTGCTAAAATAATAAATTTATAAATATGTTGTATTTTGTGCACTTAATGAATTTATCATATGCATATCATTATTATAAATTTGTTACTACACTATAAATTTAATTATTATATGTATATCGTTTAAATATATAGTTAATTAAAATGATATTAATAAAAAGTGATATTAATATCGTGAAAAATCTCATATCTAAATATCAATTCATGTGAAAAGTTAGTCAAAAATTGATTTAAAAAGGTTTTATATTGTAATATGATATATTTATTAGTTATCCAATAAAATGATTTTATTTATAATATCGACATAGATTTGTTTAAGTTTTCTTAAAAACTTTAGATTCTAAAATCTAAAACTAAATAAAAAATATTTTTGAAAGAAAAATCTTCACTTCGTATATTGTTTACTTTATTATATTTTCATATTTTATTAATGCGGAGTGATACGATATATTATTTGTGTAAAGTCTTTTAATCATTTAATTTTAAACGTTCATATATTTAAATATATATGATGTTCACTGGTGGATATTTAGGGGCCAAGGGCCCATTATTATTTTTAATAATTAATTAATATTAAAAAATATTTTTAATAAAATAAATAAATAAAAATTTATTCGACTCCCATCAATTACAAAGTATATTTATGTAAAGTAAATAATTTTAAACTCCGTCTTAATAAATTTCTGATTTCAACCCTTATGATTCTTAAACTCGATAACTTCAATAATAATAATAATAATAATAATAAATTTTTAATCACTGATATACTTTTAAAATTAAAAATAATTTATATATCTTTTACTTGGCGAATAAATGGAATTTATGTAGAAATATCTAGAATTCATGTATAACTGTACTAGAGTCTATAATTATGAGAAACGTCTATGGGTAGGATGGTCATTTCGGCAAAAAGTGTGGTAAAGTGGTAAAATGGGAAGGGTAAATAACTGCAAAGTGGATGAGTACAAGAGGTTCCACAAAACAACGACTGTTTCTTCCTTTAGTTCAAAAATGGGTTAGTAGATGGGGGTGTTAAAGTAAAACAGAAGACTCTATGGGGGCTAAAAAGGGAAAAGCAGTGGAAGAGTAAAAGCGGCTAATGTAGGTCGTTTAGTTAAGGCACGTGGCACTATTACGACAGGGACGTTATGTTCTTCTATCACTACGCTTTGATGTGATTCAATTCGGCCACGTGTCGCCTGACTGGTTTTTTAGAAACCGTTGGATTAATTCAATCCCGAAAGCACGAGACGAATCTCCCCCTTCATTTTCAATTTATTTTAAATAAAAGAACGTAAGAAAATAAAAGAGGATCCCGTTACTTTTTAATATAATACAAAATGGAAATTTTTACGAATTATAATTTTGATTCATTAATAAATACGACATATAATTTATATTTTGAAATTAAATTTAAAAATTTTATTCTTTTAATTTTTTAATAAAATAAAAAATATTAAACAAAATACAAAAAATAATCTTATAAAATATGATATTAAACTATAAAACTGTAACTAAAACTATAATTAAAGATAATATTTAACTAGCGATATAATACAGAAGAATAATAAAAATATCACTTTTACCATAATATTAAAAAATAAACAATACTAAAAAGTAAATTATTGGTTAACTTTAAATCAATTATTATATTAAAATCGAGTTGATGTTTGGTTCGGATCAAATTTAACAAAACTAAGTTTAAATTAATTTCAATTTAGAGTATATTAGGTATGACCTTATATTGATTTATCTGAATTTAAACAATTTTTAGTTCAACTTGATTTATTTCTGTTTCAAATAAAATTTAAATCATCATATGCGAATAAATATTAAATTTTCATTCAACTTAATTAATTTGAGTAATTATAATAGAATCAAATTTGTCATATATAATAAATGCAAGAAATGACGAAATGGGCCTTGTACCCAGTACTTTGGACCCAAAACCATTTAAATATCCGCAATACGCTCATCCTGCCGCTCCAAACAAGGGCAGGAATCTCCACCTTAAAAACAAATTTATTTTTTTCTTCTTTCTAATAATTAATAATATCAATACAAATTATAAAAAGAAAAAGAAAAATGACAGCAACAGCAAAGTGTCGTAATTTGAAGAGTTGATAAAATTACTTTGACGTGTGACAAATGGCGTTAGGAAATGGACAGGTCACCTGTCCCCAATCCATACGATTGACGCTGTATATTTGAGACGTTAGGTAAAACAGAAAATCCCATGAAGTAATAATTTCCTATATTTTTAACCAAATATTAAAATCAGATAAAAAAAACCATGACCTAATCAATTTTAGGTAAAATATATTTGAGGTCCCTAAATTATATTCAAATGGTTACTATAATCACTAAACTATCAAATGTTATAAAATAATCATTAAATTTATCTAACTGTTATAAAATGATCACTGTGACATTGCAAAACAATGGTTAAATTCATCAAACTTTATGATGTAAAAATGTTGCAATAATCATTTTATAACAATTCGATAATTCTAGTGAATATTATACAACTTTTGAAATTTTAATAACAAAATATACATTTTAAGCATAGTTTGGGGACTCTTGTGTACTTTACTTATTTTTTCTATTAAACACAAATAAATATAAACGGTTGTTATTGTTTATTTTTATTCTTTAACATTTTAATTCAGTTACAAGGTAACATACATGTGTAATTTTAAATTTAAATAAATTCACGCCCAATTACAATAAGTGACTTAGATTTGAACCACTTAGGGAAATATGTACTATTTATCGATGGAAACACTATTTTGGTTCTTACTATTTTGTTTACTATTAGTTTTTTTATATATATTTTTAACGTGATTATAATATATTATATATTAAAATATGTTTGAAATTAAGTCTTCATAAATAGTTTCTAAGGCAAAATATAACATCTACATTTGAATTTGATAGATATTTAAGTATAGGCGTAGAAAGAGAAAAACAAGATTGCATATATGAAGCAAGAGTCACCTGAACAGAGCAACGTAGGTCCCAAGAAATAAGGTTGTCGTTTGGTGATGATACCATGATATCTCTTTGCATCAACCATTCAATTTTCCTGTGACTTCAGTTCTGACATCCGTCCGTTTTTCCTTTACAATACAAGCTGTTATTTTCCTTCTTTGCCCAGAACCTGACACGCGGCTAAATTATGAAAATAATATTTTTTTTAAACTTTTTTTTTAAATGATACAGAACAAATATTTAATTTTCAAAATACATTTATTTTTATCGTATAAAGCGAAAATTCATCTTTGTGATAATGTCTTTTTAAAGACTTTTTCCTCAAAAAGATGTATTTATTTATGTGACAGGCTATCTGAATTGTTTTCCAATGTTATATTATTAAAGACCTATCATTTTTAAAAGATGTTACTAAGTAAAAGAAGAAGGAAAATAAAGAAAAAAGGAGGACGAGAGGGGGTTGTGGGGAGCGACCGGCTTAGGGGAGGGAGGTGAAGGGAGTAAGGGGATGGGTGAGAGGGGGCTGACGGGAAAGGGAGTTAGAATGGAGGGAAAGAGGAGGAGGTGGGCTGGGTGGACGGCTGAACGAGAGAGGATACAAAATGATAACAAATTCACGCGTATCTCATAAACTAGTAATATAAAATTGTTTTTGTCAAATAATAAAAGAATATTAGTCAAAGGGCAATCAAGAAATTTCCGACTGGCACCTTATCTTAAAACTACTATACGTGGCATGCTGTAACTCATTCTAATGAACCGAACCGGGTTCACTATTTGACACGCTCCCTCAAATCAACGGGTTCAATCTTCCGCCACGTAGGATTTTAACGTGACCGTAAAAAATTGGTCAGCGATCATAACCGGCCCTTTATAATGCCCTCCACTGCCAATCTTCTGCCAATGCCAAACGAAAAACACCACCTTCATTTCCATTTTCACGCTTTCTACGCCACACTTTTATTTAATCGTTTTTCTTAAATACCGTTATCATTCCGGCGATTGTTCATCGGAAAACCGAAGAGGCTCATCAAAGATGGAGCCACTGGTCACTGATGATTGTCGCGTTAATTTCCCAGGCGATCACGTTACATCCTCGTGCCGTCGTGTATTTCGGGAACTTTAACTGTATCTGAAAAGAAATTAAAAACCCTTAGGCAAAAACAACTTAGATTTAGCAGAGTTTTGAAGTCATTCGATGCTTTGTCAGGCAAAATAGAGGCAAATTAGTATATATTAATTAAGCTTGTGACTCTCGAGTCTTGGTGAATCGCATTGATTTTTGGCCCTCAGAAAAGTTTATGAATTTCTGTGTTGATTGCGTTTGACTGACCTCATCACAAAGCCACATGTCTTCCAGTAGCCCAAGCGGAGTATCAAAAAGAGTTTGAAGTGTTGTCGTGGTACCGGTGGAAGCAGAAGAGGGGTTTTGTTTACATTTCTTTTTACCAGAGCTGAGAAAAATGCCTTTCCCAATGAAAATCCAACCTATCGATTTCAGCCCTTCAGAAGAGGTAGCGCCGCCTCGTTTGGAGACGGTAAAGCCGGTGGTGAAATCAAGGCTAAAGAGATTGTTCGAGCGCCCGTTTCCTAGCGTTCCGAGAAATTCCGCGGCGGAGAAGGTGGATGCCGTTGCAGCCGATGAGCTGCCTTTTACTAAAGAATGCACGGCGGAGTTCGAGCCGAATTCCGTTTGCTTGGCAAAGATGGTGCAAAATTTCATCGAAGAGAACAACGAGAAACATCAATCTGGTGCGGTTAGGTGTAATCGTAACCGCCCTAACTGCTTCAATCGTAACCGCAACGAAAGCTCCGAAGACGAAATGGATAGCTTCGGTTTTAGTGACTCCAATCTCACTTCTTCGGCTGAAACGTCTGAAGTTCTGAAGGTAAAGCAATAATTCTGCCTTGTTTAAAACATTTTTTTGTTGTAAGCGATGACATATATTTCTAATTTGTTTTATCCTTTTCATTTTTCATGGAATAGAGTTTGATTCCTTGTGGGAGTGTGAATGAAAGGAATTTGCTGGCTCATACCGCGAAGATTATGGAGAAGAACAAAATTTCTAAACGGAAAGATGATTACTGCAGGAAGATTGTTACTGATGGGTTACTGGCTGTTGGATACGATGCTTCTATCTGCAAATCTCGTTGGGAAAAATCTCCCTCTTATCCCGCCGGTAATTTCTCTCTCTCCTTTTCTAGAAACATCTTTATATTTCTGGGAAAGTTGTGCTATCCATTTCCCTCTGTTCTGGTTTGAATTTACATTTTTTTACTAATTTTTAGATTACTGAAATGATAATATCTTGTTATTTTAACAAGCAGGGGAATATGAATACATTGATGTGATGATTGACGGGGAGAGATTGTTGATCGACATTGATTTCCGATCAGAATTCGAAATTGCCCGATCAACAAAGACTTACAAATCAATCCTTCAAATGCTTCCCTTCATCTTCATAGGCAAAGCTGATCGTCTCCAGAGGATAATTGCTATTGTTTCCGAGGCGGCTAAGCAGAGCCTGAGGAAGAAGGGACTGCATGTTCCTCCATGGCGCAAAGCTGAGTATGTCAGCGCCAAATGGCTCTCTCCTTATAACCGAGCGACACCTTCACCCGCACTTGCGCTTACATCCACGACGACACCCACAATTGGGACACTTAAAGGATCTGAATTCGATGCCAAAACTAAGGATAAAGATCAACCTATTATCGAATTGATTTCGAACGATAAAAACTCGGTTGGAGATGCAGAGTTGGGCGAGTCCATATTTTTTTTATCTGAGAGCTCCGAGGACGAAGGGGAGCAAAAGGAGGAGAAAGAAGAGTGGAAGTCACCTGAGACAAAACCCAGAAGCTTACAGACTGGGATTAAGATCGTGACTGGTTTAGCTTCAGTAATCGAAGATGGACCGAGAGAATTTTGACTTTTTATTTCCCCCCCTCTTTTCCCATTTGGGTTACTAGAGAAACCAAATACTACGGTTAACTGTTTAAATCCCCTTCTGTTTTTTATATGTAAGGGTTGATCTCTGAATTTTTTACTACTACTATGAAATCAGGTTGTTATATAAATGGATAAACAAGACAAATTAGAAATTTTGTTCTTAAGCCGGTTCCTCCTTATTCTTTCTTCTTGAAACCAAGTGTAGTTTTCTTAATTCTCATCTCCTATTCTTCTTCTTGGGGTCTGGTATACTTCTGTATAATTTTCTGGTGCAGCGAGGGATCTTTGAATCGTGGAATCAGAACAAACAGGAAAAAAGCTAAAGACCCATCACTTGTGCTTTCCCTTAATTCATATGTTTATTATAGTTTACCGGTTTGTGATATTGAATAATGTTCTTCTCTTGAAGGTACTGAATTTCATGATGATGGAAGGGGCTGGCTCGTGCATTCTCGAGCGCTGTGATTTTTAGGTTAGGAGGCCTAAGCTATTCTTTAATTGCTTCAATTGATAATACCTCCCTCCCCTGCTAGGTATTTTGTTGATGGCACTAATTAATCTTGTAACTATTTACCCTGCCTGCGTGGTTTGGATTGAATTATTGATTTTGTTGATGGTTTTGGTGTAGCCTGAACATTGAAATACCTCTATGTTACTGTTTTCTTCATTATGATCCATGGTTTTGGCTGATTTGTTAATAACACTCCCATTCTCATATTACGTTTGCTTATCGAATGACATGCGACCGAGCCCGGAAGTTCAATTATATTTAAGACTACGTCAGTATCAGATAAAGCCTGAGAGATTCGGGAAGAAGGAATAATTAGCTATTCTAATTCCAAATTTTAGTTAATTCCTGTCGGTCCAAATACTGTGTTTGGTGACATATTTATTTATTTTGTATGTGTAGTAGTTGGCTTTTCTATGTGTATATATGATTCCGATTCTGATAATATTGCCTGATGGACATGGCGTTATGTCGGTTTCTTCCTTTGTTTTTCCCCATTGTCTGCAAGGGGAAATATTGGCGTTGAGGGCGGAGGCATTGTTGGTTTCGGTCGGGTGATGGTCCCTCCCAGGCATTGGAGATTAGATTAGGAGGTCCAGTTCATTAACTATTGGTTCAGAGCTTAAAATAGAGGAAGAAAAATCCATTAGAATTTATGGAGCCTGCCTCTAGTACAAGCCAGGCCTATGTGTATCCCGAATTTAAGGACATAATTAGTTCCACACTGGGTGGTGGGTGGGGTTCAGAATTGTCTTTTTACCTGCAATACGGCCAAAATTTGGAAATTTACCGCAAGTAACTGGGAAAAAAAATGTGGGTTGGAATTTTGGAATGCAGCGACTTGAACAAATTCACAGAGCTTCCTTCCCGCGTACTACAATTTCAATTGATGACAACATCAAAATCTTTAACTTCTTTTTATCATTTATTTAAAGATATTCGTGTTCTCGGCATCCCTCACTCTTTTAGTTCCAGAAGTTTTGATTTCTTTTTGATATTGAATTAAGCATCTTCATTAGCCTCTAATGTATATAATAAATTTTACGAAAATGCTATATTTGTCGGCTTATCCACCGAAAGTTAAAACTAAACTGACTCGCATCGGTCGCAATGAAATTTCTTCTTTTCTCAAGTTCAGCTTTTATTCTTATCCTGCGCGCATGATGTTCTGACTATATGCTCCTGCTAATATGCGCCAAAACTTGTCGTTTATTTGCCTGGGAGGTCCACCGTACTATCTTGGGATTTGCAGTTCAGGAAAACAATTTAATTATAAAAGGGCATATATGTTTATCACATGCTTCATAAACTGAACACTGTATATTAAAAGGAAAGAAAGAGAACGTTTTGCAGAAGTATATTAACATAAAGGAACCTAGTTATATATAAAAGAAGTGGTAATCTACAACAATGAACTTTATCGGGGATGGAAATAGTATAATGTAGCAATGACACCGGTATTTGTTTAATATTCATAAGCTTTACTACCTTAGTGGGCTGGTAAACAAGTCGATCTAGCATTTTCTGGCGTCCGTAATTTTTCTCTTATCGTCTCTGTGATTCCTTTCACCCAGTTAAATTTTGAAAATTAGTCTCCCGAAAAAGCTTCACGGACTCGCAGAAACATCTAGGTCCAAAATGTCTGCTTTATTTAAAAAAAAGCGTGTTTTTTTTTTATTTCCAAAGAAATGCTTTTACATTGATTGGTGTATTGTACTTTCGAAATTAATGCCTACTTTGTTACATACGTGTACAGATGTACGTGTAGGTAATAGGATTCGGTAGCTTTGTTACTTAGAATTATAAAAAACAACGGGGACCATCCGAGGACCAGGCCATGCCGTTGCAACGGCTAACGTCGGTTAATTTGATTATGTAAGACCAGAGATGGTATTGAGAGTTTCAAAGCTTTTGTTTTGTTAGCCATCATGAGTTACATGCATTCGAATTTCATTCTGTAAGAGTTTTGAACTGCAACAACAAAACAAAAGTGAATTGTGGTCGTGTCGGTGGGTGGGACGCGAGAGTTCCTTGCCTCTGCCCGATGATCCAGAAGACACCCCTCTTATCTCTGCCCCTTCTTACTGTCGTAATATCTGGACCATTCTTCCCATTAACAAATGTTACGGTGACTCATTGTTTCCTTTCATTTATTACTTGTGTTGTTTTCGAGTTCTGAGAGGATTTTATTGCTTCACTACTTTGAATTTATTATTTTTATATGGGATTTGAAACCCACCAAATTCTTTTAGATACACGTTGACACTTATCATGTATGCGGACGTTGCTTGAACCAACACGTTTCACGTAATTCATAACAGAAAATTTTTAAATAGAGTTCGAAATATATTGGGTGAAAGACGGTATGCTAATTTGTTTCCAAACCTGGGTTAAGTTGGGCAGTGGCGGAAAGCATTTTACTTTGAAAAAGAAGGCATGACTTGAGAAAAGGGGAATATGGAAGTCCTGTTCAACACGCTAAATCTCCAAAGTGTGACCCCCTTAACCAAAAAGAAAAGGTTGAAATCGAGTGAGTAACCACCCATAAAACAAACCACTCCTTAATGCTTTCCTACTGATTTATTTGGGGTAGATGCGTTAAACAGACGACTTTAATGAATGGGCTATGGGATTTCTCTATCAGTCCAACCATAGTAAATGGACTTTGATGAACCACTAATACAACCCTTCTAATTCTACTTTAATATCTACGTCACCAATCACAGTGTGTTAATGTGTAACAATACCAAAAATATAAATTTTATTTTTTTATTCCATATAAATGAGAAAACTAATTTCCTAAGACTGGTTTTGAAAATTTAAAAGAAATGATTGGGGAGGAATAAGGAGTGCAATGAATGATAGTTGAGGGATAATTAATGGGCTAAGAAGCTTCCCCGCCCTAACCTAAGGCCTTAAGTGTCCGCTTCCAGTTCTACTTTGGGCTAAATGATTTTAGTGGCCTTCTCACTCCTGGTTTTTTAGTTATAGCTTCCTCAACTTGCACCCTTGAATGTATTATAATATAAAAGTTTTAACGCTGGTTAACATGCGATTGACTGTGATGTATATTATAATAAGAATGTTCAATGTTTTGATATAATGGAATATCATACCTCTATACATACGATTAGATCTTTCAAGAATTGGACTGAGGTAATCATACCTCTATCAATTAATTATGTTATTTCAATTAAGAATATTTACACCAATCATTGTCGTTTTAATACGTATAACAACTTGTATGTATTATACAAACAGAATAGTCACACGTGTTTCTTTCCCCATGGGTGCCAATTGTGATTTGTTATGTATGAGATACTACTTGGTATTACTATTATTTATGCTAATAATAACCTCACCGTGTTTGAACTCTTCTCCATTGATTTTGCAGATCATTGTCACTCTCATTTTGTTTATACGGTAAAATATCTCTACCTATATAATTATAAGACGATACAAATTGTTAAATTTTACGAGGAAAGTGTAAATAGTAAAATATTTAATCTTTTTGAAAACACTGCAAGTAAAATTAATATATTTGAATAATCATAATAAAATATATATAAATAATTATTAATTGATCAAAATATGACGAGAGATGAATAGTAATGTCGGATGGTAAATAGTAAAAGAGAAAATAATCTCAGTGATCAAAAATATCTTATAATATACGATTTTAATCAACTTTTTTTGGATTTGTCAAAATGACTAACTAAATCGCAATGCGATCGATAATTCACAACGCGATCTCCGGTATCGCAAATCAGTTTCCAGATTCGCAATGCGAACTTCGACTATCGCAACGCGATCTTGGACTATCGCAATGCGATTTACATATTCGCATTGCGATAGTCCAAGTTCGCGTTGCGATAGTCGAAGTTCGCGTTGCGATTTATTCCAAATTCGTTGCGATTTATTCAAAATTCATTGCGATAGTCCAAGTTCGCGTTGCGATTTATTCCAAATTCGTTGCGATAGTCCAAAATCGCAACGACTGGTGTTATTGTATTTGTTTCTTAAGAATTTTCTCTAAAAAGATAGTATTCGCGCGAACGTGTCGAAGTTCGTCATTTTGGCAAATCCAAAAAAATGAATTAAAATCGTATATTATAAAATATTTTTGATTAAAATCGTATATTATAAAATATTTTTGATCACTGAGATTATTTTCTCATAGTAAAAAGCTTAATACGGAGAGTTGTAACAATAAAAAAAATAGGAGAAGAACTTTTGTTAACTCACCAATAACAACAAACCACGTGTATTTGACCACCAGCGTGTTCACAAGTTGAAGTTTACCATCACCGTTAATTTAAAATCCACCGTTCTTCTTTCATTTTAAACCCTATTACCGCTCCTTCCACTTCCCAACATAGAAAATAAGAAGAAAAATCTCTAATCCGAAAAGGCATGGATCACCTGCTCTAGGCTCCACGATTATTTCCATGTTCCTTCTTTTTGTTTTCTTGGTTTCGTATGTACTTTTATCTCTCTGTCTGTAGATGCAGCTGAAATTTCTTTTCTTGCGGGTTCACGATTCTTAACGTACACCCATCTGTTGGGTCTCGTAAGATCCCATTATTGCCGTTACCTTTTTATTTATTTATTTATTTATTTATTTCTCTTTTATTTTCAAATCGCTTTTTTCTCTTCTT